CAGTTTACATTCCATTGTGTATCATTTCAGTCAGCCTCATAGCTCTGCTGGTGGCAACCTAAACTTCCTCTTATCTTTCCTCTCCCTCATTCTAGCTGCCATGCAACACACATTTCCTTTTTTCCCTCATAAAATCACCCTGTGGGGGAATTCAGATATCCACCACCTCACTACCTGAACTAAAACTGTGAGGAATGTTTAGACTAAGTCACTCAATCGGCTCCACTGATTGTCCTACAACTTTAATACTACCAGCTTTGCACAGGCCCGTGTTGCACAGCCAGGGCCACCTCTGGTAGTCTCACTCCCTCCATCTCTTACAGAATGAAATTAAACTTTCTGTATTCTGTCCAAGGCTCCCAAGTTCATCACACTTAGCATTTTAAAAGAGAAAATAGGTGGCCTCAGACTGCAACATTTTCACGTCCAAGCTACCAAATATACGCATAATCCATATCTGTGTCAATTTCAAATTCCATCGCCTCAGGGGCAATAGGAATGCTTTCTGTTCTCCGACCTTTCAAGTTATATTTCTAGACAAACTTTTTTTTTTTTTTTTTTTTTTTTTTTTTTTCCGGTACTGGGAATTGAACTTACGACCTTGCGCTTGCCAGGCAGGTACTGTGCCACTGAGCTAAATCTCCAGCCCCTCTAGACAATCTTTGAGTTCCACCAACTTTCCACTCTCAGGACTTGAATATCATTGAATACTCTTGATCTTTTCCCCACAGTCAAATCTGTCCATGTCAATAAATTCTTCAAGTGGCTTTTCAGGCTCTGCCTTTAAAATATACGACTTCTCTCTCAAATTACCATGCTAGTTCGCCCTGTACTTTAAAACTAAAATAGTCAAGGAAATGTCTCCATTCATTACCCCTCACTCCCTCTTTCACTCACTCAGTCTGCTTCCAACCATTTTACTTCCAGCAAAACAATTTTTCTCGATAGATTATATGCAGTTAACTCAACTCACAGAATATACTCAAGTCATTTAACGTTTATTGCCAGTAAGAGTCCAGAAGTGTTAAAGATGTTGCTTCCTTCCTTTTTGATTTTCCTCCTTCTCCTTGTCTGCTGTCTCCATGGCCAAAAGAAGTGTTAACATTTTTAAAGCCTTTGGTCTGCCTCCCTCTTCATCACAGCCTCTGTACTCACCCAGTTCCCAACAGAAGCCAGGTGACTTACTAGCTATCTGAGGGATGGGAATCTCTCCTCTAAGCTCCAGGACCACCCAACGAACTGTCCTTTGGACATCTTAATACTCACTTAATGATCTACCTTCCCTCCAAATCAGCCTGCCTGTGGTGTTTTGACACCATTTAATGCTATCACTTTCCACTTAGTTTTTATATACCAAAAAATGAATGAAATTCTCTTTCTCTCCTCTCAGCTTCATCCCATTACCTTTGTTAGTTTTTCATTCTCAATAACTTTTAAAATAGTTAGCTTCTGTTCACGTTAAGACTATTTTCATTTCCCTAGAGTATAATAAGCCTTCTCTATCCTTATTTCCACACCTTAGGAGTAAACCAAACAGCACTAAAAATATTTAGAAAACTAATAAAAATAATACAAGCATAAATAAAGTATAACCATTCATATAATCTTTACATAGGTAATATAAGTAATCATGGGCATTATAGGTAATCTAGAGATGTTTTAACATACACAGGAAATGTATAGATTATATGCCAACATTACACCGGCTCATAAAAATTGAGCTTCAACAGATTTTGTTATCCCCTGGACAGTCCTAAAACTAATCTCCAATGGTGAGTTACGAAGAGGTAACTGTACTGTCATACTAAAGATCCTAACTGGTTTGCCATGTATATTTTAATTTTTTTCTAATCTGCCTTATGCTGAAGTGATAGATTTCTATGCCAAAGTGATAGATTTCTACTGGAGGTAATTTAGCATTTGATGAGAGATTTGGCAACATCTTTACACACTTTAATTGCTACAGCTGGGAAGCTGAGAACAAGTACTTCTGAAATCTAGTGGGTAGAAACTAAGAATGCTGCAAAATGTCCTCAAGTCAACAAAATAGCCTCCTACAGCAAAGATCTCTGGCCCAAATTGTCAGCAGGGTCAAGGTTGAGACAACGTGTTACAGGGTTAGACTGAGCTTTTCACATTATACACCTGACTCTACCATATGCGCACATGTACACACACACACACACACACACAAACACACACATAGTTTAAAACCTTTAGTAACTTTCAAGACTAGAATAGTCAATGTGACCCCCCAGATTCTTTGTGATCGGTCTCCGCATACCTCCAAGGAAAGCCCCTTCAGTGACATTTCTATCCACTGTGCTATTCCCCACCCCTGCAAGCTCAGGGAATTTGCATATGTTGATTCCCAGATCTGGAAGTTGTTCAGGTAGTTAAGCCAATTTATTCTTTAAATACCAGTGGAATATCTTACCAAGGGACATTTGTATTGAGTTCCTCACTAGGTTTATTCTTCCATGTGAGAATTAAGAATTTATAGCCTTTGTGGGCTGTAGATAGTTCAATATTCACATTGGCTTTCCATTAGTTACATATTGTGCTTTATTATGATTTGATTTTCACTAGATTGGGAACAATAAAAGACATCATATGTCTTTATTGTATTTTTATTTTATATCAAATCAAATTACATTATAAATGGTTAGTCATTCCATGTTCAATACTTGGTTCCAGAAATGTCAAATGGCTTGATCTAAATCACACAGCTCATTAATAGACAAGAGTGAGCTTGAATCTAAATTTTTCATAAAAGTGTCGCATTTATTCTTTTTAAAGTGGTATTTTATGCATTTGTTTAAGTCTGTACCTTTAAACTCAAAGTAAATCTTTTGTAAAAGCAGAGAGCACAAAACAGATTAAAAGATTAAAGCAGATCACTGCTTTGATCAGAAATAGTGCAACTCAACCTCATTTTAAGGAACTCCTACAGCTACCCTTTGCCAGGGTCATGCAGAACTGGCCTCAGAATGACTTCAATGAGATGATTGTGGATTGGAAACAAATAAATTATATTTACTTGAGGATCATTTGTGCCTTTTCTTATTGCCACAGTATATGATGCATTCAATATTTTTGAATTCCAAACTGAGAACAGAGGTATTGTACACCAATACTGTATAGAATATACCAAGCAAGTGTTATGACTGGATGATATATTTTCTTCAAAAATTTCATGAAAATCACATGTACATGTTTCTGTATGAAACAGAAATGACACTATTCTTTCAGGTCATCAAGCAAAGTCCATGAAACATGTTCCACATTTCACCATTTATCAAAACATATATTTTCTAAAGAAATCACAACATCTTTTGGCAGCTTTATAACCTCATTATTTATATCATTTTACGATTCCCTGTGTTGCCAACTGGTTAAACTCCTCAAGCAAAAACAAATGTCCTCTACCTATGTCATTGTGACCGCTTTCTAGCACAGGAGGAGAGGACCCCAAAATGAATTGACAGAAGGATGCTGTGCTTGTTCATTAACCAAGAGCTCATGCCGACAGGCTGTGGGATTTCTGGCACTGCGGCTCAATAGCTTGATACCTTGCTATATGCAGTGCACCTTCAGGTTTTGATAATAGATGGAAACTGAAGTTTTAAAGGCAAGGCTGTAAAAATATATAATTTATTTTCCTATTTTCTCACATAAAAATTTTATTTGTAATTAAAGGTCAGTGATACAGTACACATTGTATTTTTTTTTGGGGGGGGTACCAGGAATCGAACTCATGACCTTGGGCTTGCCAGGCAGGTACTGTGCCACTGAACTAAATGAGCTAAATCTAACATTGTATATTTGGGAAGCATATAAAAATGAAATGATTACCAATAGTTTCTAGTAATTTCTATAGTGAATATGTATGTGTACAAACATATATAGTGAATGTGTAATATACATAATGAACCTATGTATGTGTGTGTATATATACATACAGATATATATATATATACATATGTATCTATATACATAATGTATATTATACAACATGAAAAAGTAAGAGGATTGTCTTTTCCAACTATAGCATAGGCAGAAAATGCATCAAGTCTAAGAAATGTTTTAGTGATTGGAACTGTCTCTCCACCTCCCTCAAGTCATTATATTTCAAGAATAAAAAGGAATTATTCACAACATTGTTTGAAAAGTTGTTTCTTAAAATATATAGCCTCCTCTTTGAAAATCTTAAATTAGTGATTAGCTATTAAAATATTTTAAGCTTATTAACTTGATTTTATAAAAAATATGTATACTTTTGCTTCTCAAGTAATATTGGCTGACTTACTTGTGTCAAATTTGTATTCAAACTATTTGGCCTTATTAGATTGTTTGTCTGATTATCTTACTCAGTCTATAAAATGTAAATGCTAGACTTTCTGTAGTTTAAATATTTTTAGTGCTTCCTTCTTTGAGAGTCTTTTATCCCATCACTTTTGATTACTATCTCAAAGAAGTAATTTCATAATCTTTATGAATTGACAATCTGTATTCACTGTATGGTATTTGAATGGGTTTATAATTTGGCAGCTATATAATTGCTAAGGTTATCATTATAGGGTGAGCGTGACATTAAAAAACTCATTTCCTTCTGTCTTTAGCATACAATGCAGATATATTGCTATTTCCTCAGAGTCCCTCATGGACATTTCTCAGGCTTGGAAATTGCATCTATTAACATATATTGCATTGCACTGTCACCTTATTTCCACTCTGACTCTTCTATGAGCTGGGCAAAATATACATGAAAGAAAAGCTAAGTCAGAAGTGCAACCAGCGGCAGAGAAGTAAACTAAGCGTCAGATGTGTGTTTTCAGTTCTTGGCAAAGTTATCAAAATTTTCCTTGAAGGATATTGGAAAAAAATCACTTATGACAGACAGCCCCTGCTCTCTCATTCTTGCTTTCTAAATCCCTGAAAACCACATCTGCTTCCTCCTGATAGCTTTTAACACACATCCCTTTAATGTCTTCTAACAGGAAGTGGAAACTGAGCGAAGTTTGTGTTCACCAGTGCTTAAGAGTCATCCCAGGAGCCAGTCAGAAGAGTCTGTGAAAGATTCAAACAAGAAAGGGGAGAAAACATCTTTGGACAAGATGTCACCTGAAAGTGCTCAAAGCGACACCTTTGAAGGTTAGCGTAACATCTTGATGCGATTTCTTGAGATCATGCCTTGTACAACATGAGTGGCTAATAAACAAAATATATAAATAAAACACATGAGAAAGAAAAGTGACAGCATTTGCTTAGGACATATAGTTCAGGAAAAGTACAGGCATGCATAAATACTTCTATCCCTAATATTTGAATTGGAGTTTAGAAACCATATATATTTTAGATTACTATAAGTCAGTACAAATATGCCTTTTCAGTGTCAGGCCCTGCAACCATGCTTTTGACCAATATATGACTTTTTCTTTTAAGGAGAAAAAGAGAATAACATATTTATCATTATGTCTATGAATAATAAAATGACAAAAGGTAAGTAACTGACAGTGGCAAAATAAAATAGTAAATAAAAATGCCTTGAGTATCACTTTCACAGACAATTAAAGTGAATGCATGTAATGAATTTAAAATAAAAATTGTCAGGAGAGTATCATCTTTTAGGGGAAAATCTCATAAAATTGATTAATGTTTTACAAATGTCATTAAAAAGTTAGTAAAGCATACATTAGAAATTGCATTATTAATATAGTTTTCTAACATGACAGAAATGCAAAGTATAAATAATTTATTAGAAATACAGATATCATTTATTAGTTCTGACTAGGCACATGCTAGAATTTTTTTTTACTCTAACCAAATAATACATATTGTGATGTTTGCTAAAATCATAAGTGGTCGAATTTTAAACTATCATATGGAATGTATGTAGCAAACCATCAAGTTGCCAGTCAACATGAGCAATGTAGTTTAACCTATGGAATAGTACAGTTTGCAATTTGGAAAAGCAAGTGATACCCTGCTTTATAACATTGCTATTCAAAGTGATGTCTGTGGATCAGAACATACACATTTCCCAGAGGCTTATTAGAGATGCAGAACCTTGGTCCGGATGCTTGGTCCCCCTACTGAATCAGAATCTGCATTTTAATAAGATCCTCACATGATTCATGTGCACATTAAAGTTTGAGAAGCTCTACTTTATGACAGTGCAGAATGAACTTCAGGATAATTTACATAGGGCTCATCCCATCCTGATTCCATCTGGTTTAAGTACGTAATTTGGAGTGGGAAGTGGGTGAGGGAGGGTAACTAGAGGGGAGTTTGCTAATGATGGACTGGGCATGGATTTTTAAACGCATGTAAATTGGTATCTTAATCTCTATTTTTCATTCCACTCATTTTAGTATGCTCACTGAATATCCTAATATGATTAGTATCAGTCTTGAGGTTTTACTTCACATATTTTTGGCCTGTGATTAAACTCTATGTGCACTTTGTTGAATGCAAAAGCATTAGATTAGCAGAGGCCAAAAGGCGATGGTTTAGTGAGTGATTTATGTTCTGGTGGTGCTGACCTGTGAACATCTTAGTGCAGAAAGGAAAAACTGAGGTTGACAAGCTGACTGAAATTAGGTGATAATTAACTCCACTTATCACATCTTAATTTGCATCATCATTTTTTGTTTTTATTTCCATACAAAGGATACCAAAATACTTTTTATTTTACAAGATTACATTAGGAAAAATATTCTGGAAAATATTATTTAGTATCAAGACATGACTTAAATTTTTAGATTTTAAATTTGCAAGTACATTGAAAATATGCAAAGCTAAACTTTAAAACACCAAAAGGAAAATAATATTAAGGAAGAGCACAGTAGGCAATTTTATTTTAACTCTATTTATACATTTAACTCTATTTATTTTAACTCTATTTATACATTTAACTCTATACATTTAACTCTATTTATACATTTAACTCTATTTATACATTTAACTCTATTTATACATTATACATAGGAACTCTATCTCCTGTGTATCCCTCGTTTCAAAAGAAAATAAAACTTCTTCCATTATAAGATCCTTTGAATTCTTTCTCCTATATCCCAAATTTCTACCTCTGATAAAAGAATTTTAATCTATATTAATTGTTAACTAAGTTAACTTTAGGTGAGCTGTATATAGCTTGACAAAATCTACACAACAAAAACTATATTAATTTTACCCTCTTATTGCAAATATCTCCTTTATAGCAAGAAGATGAACATGTGTCCTAGTACAGTGTGATAACTGAAAGATTTCAGAGTTTATATAATTATATGAGTGATTATGATACCCTTGCTTACTAGAAAAACATCTAGTAAACTAGCCCCAAGAGACTCATACTTGAGGCAATATTTATTCATTACTTCCATAAACAGTAGAATTTTTAAAATTTACTTACAACAGAGCATTAAGATGCAGCTACATAATAATCTATATTTTTAGAATTTAGCGAACACCAATTGACGTTGGATGAGCTCCTTCCCCTTATTCTCAAAGCCAGGTCCAGTGGAGCACATAGCAGCATTGTGATTTTTTTGCAGCTTCCTTTCCATGCCTGATCACCTTTTCCAGGTTCACAGACTATGTTTACTTTCTCTCAACAGCCCCGTTCCATTTGCTCCACTTCCCTCATTTAGGCATCGGTGTGCAATAAAGCGTAATGTATCTATACAGGTGTCGGTGCTTTCTATTCCCATCTCCTTCAGGTAGTCTCTAGTCGTCAATGGTTCCAATGATTCTGAGAAGGCTTAGTCCATAAAATTTTCAGTGTCAAATAAGGTAAATCAATAATTTGGCAAATTCGGTTTATGTAAGAGACAAGGTAGAAACATATATAAAACAGTATAAATGATGTTGACTCATTATTAATACAGTTGAACTTCCCTAATCCTAAAAGTAAGGATTCTTTTTGAATTAGCAAACTTCTTTTAAATGTCTTAAAATCAATAATTTGGAAAGGGAATAGTGGGAATCTTAATTGCAAGCATTTGATACACATGTACATACGGTTAAAAAAATCTTTTTTATGCAAGTGTTGTATGCAACAATACTCTCAGTTACTTGGGTGACTGAGACAGGAGGATCACTTGAAACCAAGAGTTAATTAGAAGCCACCCTGTGTAACACAGAGAAATGACCACCTATAAAATAACTACTGCTAAGAAATTTTGCATCAAGTGATGCTTAAAGTAAAACTAGTGATGGATTATGTTTACCTAGTTTATATTACTTGGAATTTGTATATAA